AGTGCCAAAGTCTGCTGGCGTCCGCCTCTGAAATAGCTGAAGCTATCTGGCCAATCCCGGTGTTTTCCTTTAGATAATACAAATTTCTACTGTGAACTTCCTTTATCACCACCAAAAATCCTTAGTAACCTTCGTTACAGCGTTCTCAAAGGTCACCTTGAATCCCTTCGCCTCTAAAGCTCCAACGAAAATATGATTCTTCTTCAACTGAGGAACGAATCTCACTTCACTCAATTCATGAACAACTCCATCATGCATCCGGATCCTGACGATACCTATTCTACAAATACTATAGGATTGATCATTTCCCATGACTACCATGCCCCCATCGAGTCTCTCAAATAATGCAAACCAATCTCGTCAGGGAGTCACATGATAAGTAGCACTAGAATCTAGGATCCAATCAGATGCATCCACATGGCTCACCTCTAGAGTAATCAATAGAGAAAAACATGAATTATTAGAATCATCATCTCTAACGATGTTCACCTCATTGGCCTTCGGGCCCTTCTTCTTGTTATTCTCCTTCTCTTTGAGCTTCGGACAATCACTCTTCCAATGTCCTTGTTCTTTACAGAACGTACACTGGTTTTTTGCTAATTGGTAGTGGTCTCTTGACTTTGACCTGCCTCTATTGCCACCTCTTGGATATGGACTTCTTCCTCTCGTCGACAAGGTCTCTTCTGAAGTGCTAGCTCGAGAAGTCTCTTTGTTCTTCCTTCTCAAATCGTAATTCATTAATGTATTAGTCACTTCACTGTAGGTGATGGAAGATCTACCATTTAACAAAGTAAGCATGAAGGTATCATACTCCTCATTAGATAAGGAGCCTAACAAAATAATCACCTTGTACTCGTCCGTTATCTTCTCATCCACGCTCACCAAATCCGACAATAACTTTGTATAGTTGTTCACATGAGACGCAAGTGAGGTGCCCCTGGACATCTAGAATCTGAATAATCTCCGCAGCAAGTACAATCGGTTCTCAACACTCTTCGTAAGGTACTTGTTATTAAGAATCTCTCATATTTTCATAGCAGACGTCACCCCAATCATATCGTATTTCAGCTCTTGTTCTAAACAAGACTTGATTACCCCACAAGCGGTCCTATTCATCTTGTCCCATATCGCCTCATCGTATTTTGGTGGCTCTCATGGACCCTGATGGTCTCTTCCAAATTTTGAGCATTGAGAGTGTCATGTACGTCGCTCATCCACAAACCAAAATTGATCTTGCCGTTATACTTCACCACACTAATATTAGTATTTTGAAGTCCAACCTAAACTGTACTTATCATTGTCTTGCTGCTTTCACCAACTTCTTCTCCTATGCTTACAAACTCTAAATTGTAAATAAAGATTCAAACTTTGATAGAATTGAGAAATCACCCAACTAAATCCTAGATAGGATTCCAACACGATCTCCTAACCACACAAAGAAAAAGAGATCCCAACTACAACTCCACAATGCTATCTCCATCGTAGCCTTAAACTCTAAGAACCAAGATTCAAATAACAAATCTTCCTCCACCCAATGCAAAACCCTAGATCTGAAACCCTAGAGCTCTGATACCAATTATTGTGCGTCGTGCGGAAGCGTGCTCGACAACCAAACGAGTCTGCGAGCAATGAGAGAAGAAAACCAAACCAAATACGAGTGCAATGCATCAAAATACGACACAAATTAAACTAAACACAGAGATTCATGTGGTTCGGCAATTGCCTATATCCACAGGGAGAGGATGCGGAGATTTTACTATATCGAGGAGAAATACAACGGGTTATAATTTAAAAATCACTCAAATATAACCCTAACCAAAGCTCTCAACTCCCTCACAATATCTCCCTCTCAAAGTGCTCAAATCAATCCAAAATCTCTCCTTAAGAAACCCTAAAAAACGTGTTTGTATTTATACCAAACACCAATCCAAAACCAATGGGAAAAATAAATTGGCCCAATTACCCGCTTCGCGGTCGACCGGACACAGGCCTGCGGTCGATTGGCTAGAAACACAAATTTCAATCCTGTAAACAGCACACTTTTGGTCGACCGCACAATCGTGGCCGGTCAACCGATCCGAACAGGGTTTCGAACCCTGTATTGTGCACGGAATGGTCTACCGGCCAATGTCGTTCGGTCGACCGACCTGCAACCAAAATGTATATGTTGATTTTTCACATTTTCCTCAATTCTTTCGCCGTTTTCAATTGTTTCGCGTCCCCAGAGATCAGTGTCTAAAAAGAACGAAACAACCTTCTACCTTAAAAACTTTAGGACATCATTTCCTTCGCAGCCTCGCCGTGGAGTCAAATTTATTTATATTTTTACTTTGCTCTTTTGATTACTTTTGGATTTATCTAGCTTCATCCTTTTCATAAGCAGCTTAAACAGGTAATATTGATATCACAATATCATTTCTTCTAGCTTCTAGAAATAATTAACATTATGTTCCAATGCAATTTCAATAACGCTTCTCACTATAACGATAGTATGTTTGTTGGACAAGTTTTTTATCAGCATTAGTGGTTAAGATATTAATTGTTGATGTCCTCAGACTCAGCAGCGAGATTAGTAGATAATCCTGAATCAGTGACGGGGCTTAGAGTCGCTACATGTGATGTTGGTTTCCCAAACCTCTCAAGCAACTAATCCCCTGCTTAAGAGGAGCAAGCTACAAAATAGGTACGTTAGATCACCAGAGTTGGGTTCTCCAGTGATTCCTCAGATAGTCAAGTCAGTATTTGGGCTTGAGTGGAGAAGAAATCAGTAAACTGAATAAGTTCTTAGTCTAAGTGTGCATAAATTGCATATATGTGATCCCAAAGAGGGCCTGAGGACCCTTAAACGCCTCTATTAATCTCATATATATATATATTATATATATATATATATATATATATATAATATATATATATATATATATATATATATAATATATATACATATATATATATATATATATATATATATATATAATATATATATATATATATAATATAAGGAGAGGAGAAAAATTGGGTATGCGCTGTACCAACCAAAAAAT